CTCTGCTCCTTCGGCAGCAGCTCACTGAACCTCTTGTAGGCACTAGAGAAAGCGACGACAGGGGCCGCTCTGTGCGGGAGCACGCGGGGCAGCCCCGGGGCGGAGCAGCGCGGCCCCCAGGCGGCACCGCGCGGGGCCGGAGCCGCTGCCCGCCCCGTCCAGGAGCGGTGCCGTCGCGCAGCCGGAGCCGCTCTCTCGGACCCGGAGCCGCTCGCCCCGCCCGGCGAGGCCGCACCCGCGCACTTCGCACCCCGGGGTCACGAAAACGGCCCGGCCCAGCTCCGCGCTGCCCGCCCACCCCCCACGGAGAGCAGTTCCCAGGGTGAGCAGCGCCCGCGGCGCGGGGAGAATGCCCAGGGCTGAGCCCCCCTCCCGCAGAGCCCCGGCCCCGGCACTTACAGCAGGATCTCCTGCTTGTTCAGGAACGTCAGCTCCTGCGGGGAGAGCGCGGTCAGCGCGGGGGCGCCGAAGGAAGAGGCTCCGTCCCGGTCCCCGCCGCAGCCCCGGACTGCCCCCGTTCCCCGGTTCTCACAGAGCCGGGAGCTCCCCCAGATACGGGACCGCAGATTTCCCATCCTTCGCCCCCCCTACCCGGTGATCTTTCCCCCCGAGCGCCCCAACAGCCCATCCCACAGACCTGGTACTCCCCCAGCGCCTCCCGGGACAGCAGGCTGCTGGAGCCCCCCATGGCGCCCGGCGCCGCTTCCGCCCCGCACGTCACTCTGCCGCTCCCGTAGCAACGGCCCGCCCCGGGCTGGGTACGCGCTGCACGTAGCACCGCCCCCGGCCCCGCGCGGCACCCGCTGGAAGCGCAGGTGCGTGGTGTGATGGGTGGGAGATCGGCGGGACGTGAGGGCCGGGCCAGAGCGGGTGCGGCGGGTGATGGGACGAACGTCGGGGACGGGGGTCAGGGCTGGGGACGGGGGTCAGGGCTGGGGACGGGGTCGGCCAACTCGTGCCCGCGTTCCCCCTCCGTCAGGTTCCCGGTGGCACCAAGCATGGCAGCGGGGACCGGTGAGCACCAAGAGCAGTTGCAGGACGCCCTTCAGCCCGAGGACTTCGCGTACCACGAGGATGAGTTCATCCTGGAGGGCGTCGCCTGGCCGGGCACCGCGCCGTCCCGCTTCGACCGGGCGCTGCTGGGGGCCTGGCAGGAGCGCATGGCGCGGGGGCTGTTCCGGTACCACCTGGCGGAGCTGCCCACCCGCGTGCTGCCCGGCGCCATGCGCCTGCTGGTCCAGCTCAACGCGCAGCGCAGCACGGAGCGCAGGCGGCCGCAAGCAGTGCGCAGCCTGACGCAGCCTTTCGACTCTCAGCAATTCAACTTCACGCAGATCCGCCCCGGTGAGGTGCTGCTGCGCCTGCGCCGGAGGTCGGCGGCCGAGAGCGACCTCGCGGCTGCGGACCACGCGCTGGTGGTGATCAACGTCAGCCCCCTGGAGCGCGGCCACGTGCTGCTGCTGCCGGAGCCGACGCTGCGCCTGCCGCAAATCCTCACCCCCGAGCTGCTGCGCGTGGGGCTGGAGGCCGTGCTGCTCAGCGCCCAGCCCGGCTTCCGCGTGGGCTTCAACAGCCTGGGGGCCTCCGCTTCCGTCAACCACCTGCACCTGCACGGCTTCTACCTCGCCCACCCGCTGCTGGTGGAGACGGCACCGGCCGAGCCGCTCTGCCCCACGCGGGGGCTCAACCTCCTGCTAGAGGCCCCAGCGCCGGCGCTGCTCTTCTACACGGCGGGCGCCAGCCTGGAGGCGCTGGCCCGGGACGCGTGCAGGGCGGCCGCCCGCCTGCTGGCCCTGGGCCTGGCCTACAACGTCTTCGTGACGCGGGGCGCTCCGCCAGAGGGCTCGGTCGGGCCCGGGCCTGGCGCGGGGCTGCGGCTGCTGCTGTGGGCCAGGAGGCCGCATTTCGAGGTCGAGGAGAGCGCGGCCTTCAACGTGGCGCTGTGCGAGCTGGCCGGGTTCCTGCCCGTGGCCACGGCCGCTGCCTTCGAAGAACTCAGCGAGGCCGAGGTGCTGCGCGCCATCCGCCGACCCCTGCTGCCGGAACCGGAAATGCGCCGCCTCGCTGCTGACCTGGCGCTGCTTCTGGAGGACTGAGCCGCGGGGGCGCTGCCCGCGGGGGGGCGCCGCGGGGCCCCGCCAGCCAATCGCGAGGTGCGGCGGGTGCGACCACGTGACCGGTCCGGGGCCGCTCTAGCTGGCTGTGCTCGGCTCTCTATGGTCGAGCGGAGACAGCTGCCCCGTCGCCATGGGAACGGCGGCGGTCTCGAGCGGCGCCATGGAGGCGAGCGGCGGCGGCGGCGGCTCCTCGGGGACGGCAGCTGCGAGCGGGTCCGCTGCGCCCGGGAACGAGTCCGGAGCTGCCGCCTCCAGCTCGAGACCGCGAAAGAAACGGAGGAAGTGCAGGCGAGTGCGGCGGGGGGAGGCGGCTCGATCCCGCGGCCTGTATCCGTCCGTGCGTCAGTCCGTCCGGCGAGAGCCGTGCTGCCCGGGCCACGCTGCGCACATAAAGCCTCTGTGCACACACCGCGTTCCTGTGTCTGTTGCGGGGTCCGCAGGCGGAGCGGCCCCGCGGTGTCTGGGCCTGCAGCCCTCGGGCTGGGGTCCTGCAGGCGGGTCGGAGCCCCAGGAGGAACGGGAACTGCCCCGGCATGCGCGTCCTCCTAAGGAACGGCACGGGCCTGGCACCGTCTGCCTCACGGCCCGTGGTGACGGGCCAGACTTGGCAGTTGGCTCTGTGGGGTGTGCGGGTGTGGTGGACAGTTGTCTCCTTTGTGCCCACTCCCCTTGGGCTGGTCGCCTCACTGAGCAGCTCTTGTGTCGTCTCTTTCAACTCCAGCATCCCATCCATTAACCTGAGCAGCTGCAAGTACGAGAGCGGTAAGTCCGAGGATGCGGCCCCAAGGATGGAGCCCGCCTGCAGCAAGCCGTGCAGGTTCAGCTGGCGAGGTGGGCTGGTATTGAATTTCCACTGCAGAGTCACCTCTGTGTTATGTGTTTACTGCTTGTGAGCAACTTGGATCCCTGTGAATATTCTCCACTGTGGGCTGAGGAGCTTTGTGCTTTAAAGAGACCCAAGCTGCACAGCAGCATTGCAAGCCCTCACCACCCTCCGTTCCTGTATGTGCCACACTCCTGCTAAAATTGGTGAGAAGGGTTTGGCTGGAGGCAGTTACAGTGCAGGATGGTAGCTGTGCTTGGGAAAATGGAGTGAAAGCTACAAACAGTTGAAGCAGGCGGTGCAGCAGGCTGGATCAGTAGCTGCGATATCTCTTTGATATTCCTCTGCAATGACGTGCTCTAGGCAGCTGCTTCAGGCTCCTGTCTCGCTCTTCTTTGCTGCCACAAGCTATTTCTCAAAAGAACGATTTGATGGATGTTATTAGTCAATTTGCTAATGACTACTCTAGCATTACTACTGTGTTTGCATTGCTGAAGGTCACAGCCTTGTCAGCTGTGTGAGGAATGCTGTTTTCACCCAGAGCGACACGTGTTTCACCTGCGGCCATGCTCAGGAGCTTTGGTGATGGGAGGTGGATGAGGATCCACGACAGAACATGGTGTGGCAATGTGAGCTCCATAGGAACCAGGACAGTTTCACGCCCACCTCCAGAGCTGTGGTGCCCAGGGCTGCTCTTTGTGGTGCTGCTGGGCCGAGCTGGTCAGCCCAGAATAAGCAACAAGGCAACAGCCAATGCAAGGTGGCAGGGTTGTGATGGAGGAGGGCCCAAACGGCCTCAATAGCATGTGGGCTGTTGGGCAGTTCTGGCCACCTGGCTGTGGGTGTGTGGAAAGACAGAGGCCTCTGACTTAGAGCTGCCCCCTGCGTTTCCTAACCTGCTTCTGTTTCACACGTGGTTTGTTCATCAGCTCCCCAGCTGTGTAAGAGGGCAAATTCAGAATTGGCACCGACACTGATCATGGCAGCAACAGCCTTCCACTCCAAAGCTCATGCATTCTGCTACCAATTAGCCTTTGATTTTGAAGGTGAAGCCAACACCTTTCAAAGACCTGTATTTAGCTGTGTGGCATCAAACCCAGGGTGGATTCAAGCCTGCTGTAATGCAGGGGATGTTCTGGAACCCCAAGGCAAGTGGACTTGCAGGCCGATGGTTCCCAGTGCACCTGCAGGCAGAGGCTGTGTTGAATTTAGCTGATAGTTTGTGTTTCTGAGGTCTTCTGAAGGGTCCTGTTTAGACCTTGTCATCCCTGGGGGTGGCAGTGCAGCTTGAAGAGTTTTGCCCACCCTCCTGTTTACTCTGTGGATTTAACCATCCCTGGCATTCGTGTCCTCCCCCTGGACCTTCGTCTGTGCTTCCTTCCACACAGTGCGTCGTGCTGCGCTGTGCTGCGGGCTGAGAGAAGCGGGAGAAAATGAGGAGTGGACGGTGTACTGGACTGACTGCTCTGTCTCTCTGGAACGTGTGATGGAAATGAAGCGGTTTCAGGTAAGGTCCCCATGGAGAGGGGGTGCCCAGCAGGAAGAGCTCAGGACAGGAGGACGAGACGGAGCTGTTAGTGGAACAAAGTGTTGCAGAACAAAACCGATTTGTCTGAAAGTAGCGCTTGTGCCCCACGTTCTGTGTGTTGGTCCCAGATGCGCGGGTTCATCAGTCGCTGCTTCTGTTGTGTCTGCAGCGATGCCATCAGTAACAGTCTGACAGTCAGTGGGGAGCTGGAAGGCTGCCAGCCCCTTGAATGTAGAGTGAAATAAATGGCTCTCGCTGACAAGCTGCTCCCTTTCAGAAGCTGCAATACTGTAGGAAGGCAGAGCTTCAGGGCTGAGATGGAATGAGCAGATAAATCATGCTGCTGAAGTCAGATAAGGCAGTCGGCGAACTCTTGTCCTTCAGCAGGCGTTCAAGGCAACAACTGGCCTGGCTTCCTGTTCTGCGTGCTTGTTTCTCCATACACTGCCTTTCCTTGACCTCAAGGATTATCACTGACAACTCTCTTTTTCTTCTGCACCTCTTTCAGAAAATCAACCATTTTCCTGGCATGATTGAGATCTGCCGGAAGGATTTGTTGGCTCGCAACCTCAACCGCATGCTCAAACTCTTCCCCAAGGAATACAATATTTTTCCCCGCACGTGGAGCCTGCCAGCTGAGTGAGTGATACACATGAATGGAGCAGAGAACAGGGGTATGAAATGGGGAAGTGAGAAGCACTGTGCTTCACAGCTAGGGCTTGGATGGGAATGGCCTCTGAGGTTTCCTGTGGAATGACATCCCCTACGATGTTTACTGTGCTCAGTGGCCAAAGAGCTGAACCTCGGAAGAGGGACCCGCCCTGAAAGCCACAGGGCAGGATGAGAAGCATAACATCTGTGTTTCTGGGGAACGTCCCTCTGCAGCTCACCGGGAACAGCAGAGGTAAATGCAGAGCAGAGGAGGCTCTCTCCCCACGCAGGCTGGGTTCAGTGCCCACCGCTCACGCAAGAAGGGTCGGTATGGCTCCTCATTTCCCTTTAGGACAGAGACAGTGTTCCTCCATCAACAGCAAATAATTAACTGGCATGTGGGCTTGACTCTTGAAGGCATCATATCCCAATGGAGCTGCTTTTGCAGACCAAGCAGGTGATGCGATACGTGAGCGCAGCCTGTGAGCCCCTGCACCCTGCTCACAGCATCCTGGCTGCAGCCTGCTGACCATTTGCTGATGAGCTGGAACAGAAGGGGATGTAAGGGCTTGTGACCTCCTCCTCCTTTGCAGGCACTGTTTTATTTTTCCCCGATCCCTCTGCAGCAGCAGAGCCAAAATCCTCACTGACTTCTGTACAAATAGTGCTGAACGTTTCCCATGAAACTCCTGGTAGAGGTAGAGATGTGTGCAAGAAAAAGCTGGAACTGGAAGAGCTTTGTCAGGTTGCTCAAGGACTAAATAATGTATTCCTGATGTAAGCCAGCAATTGCTGTACTATTTCCCCGCTGCAGAACCTAGGTCTGTTGTTAGCACAGTAGTTTGAATGTCTGAGTGTTACCAGAGAAGCGAGGGGCTGGTGTTCTGCAGCCTGTAACAGTCACCCCCTCTGCACAGCTACGGGGACTTCCAGGCCTACAGGCGCAGGAGGAAGAACAGAACGTTCATCTGCAAGCCCGACAGCGGCTGCCAAGGCCGAGGCATCTTCATAACACGCGACCCAGGGGAGATCAGGCACGGGGAGCACATGATCTGTCAGCAGTATATCTCTAAGGTAGGAGGATGAGCTGAGGCCGGGGAAGGACTGCAGCTGCCTTGCTCTTCCCGCACCCTGCCTGCTCCTCGTCCTTTGCCCCGTGTCTCTTGAAGCCAGGGGCGCAGCTTGTCTTCCTCCTCGCTGCTGGGCTGCTGGAAGAGGCGCAGGCGGTGCAGGTGGAGCAGCTGGCCTTGGGGACTCAGCAGCACACCCAGCAATGTTCCCTTATCTCATGCTTGCTCCTGCCTTTTTCCTCGCAGCCTTTCCTTATTGATGGCTTTAAGTTTGACATGCGTGTCTATGTGCTGGTCACATCTTGTGACCCACTGAGGATTTTTGTCTACAAGGAGGGTCTGGCCCGGTTTGCCACCATGAGGTACATCGATCCCAGAAGGAGAAACCTGGTAAAAAAAAAATAGAAGGGGAGGATTACAAAAAACTGATGTAGTGTCTGTAGCTTTTGGTCCCTAATTTGTCCTAGGGGCATTCCATACCCTGAAAAGGCAGGGACTGGTAGGTTTTATGGGACTCGGTTTTCTTTTTTCCTGCTCCCTCCTCCCTCTGCACCTCCTCCACACAGAAGGTATTTGGGGGTGTCTGAAGTACATCCCAGGTCCCACATCTAGGCTTTTTAATGACATTATCACAGAATCTTAGAGGTGTCTGGATTTGGAGGAACCTAGGAAGGTCTCAAGTCCAGCCTTCTGCTCAAAACTGGGCCAACAATAATTTCAAATGTGATTCCTCCGAGGTTTCACCCAGTTAGGTAACAAAAATCTGCACAGATGGAGACCCCGCAGTGTCTCTAGGCAACACTGCTGCTGCTTCTTGCCTCTGTGAGTGCTCTTGGGTCTGTACCATTCCTTGTCCATCTGTACTTTGGGCAGAGACCTGGAGCTTTCCTGGTGGTAGTGGAACAGCCTAGGAGACAAGGAGGGGAAATGGGAAAGAAAGGAAGAAAGGTGCAGGCCTTGACACTGCGCCTTTCTAAGCAGGGGTCTGTGGTGTATAACATCCCTAAAGAACGTGGAGTCTGTTGGATTGTGGCCCTCTCGTCAGTCTGATGCGAGGTGCCCCTCTCCCATAGCTGCACAATTACCTGCCCTCTGTCACTCCAACACGTTTATGTCTTGGAGAGGCCTTCTGCTTCACGTGAGTAAAGAGGACGAGTCTGCAGAAATGTGCTGCAGCTTCTGCCCTGGGGAGTCCCTTGTTCAGTGGTGAGGTTACAACTGGAACAGTGCCTGTGGAGCTGACTCCTGTGCTCTACCCAGGAGATTGGGGCAGTGGCGTGAAGCAAGTAGAGCAGTTAGCTCTAACTTCTGGTGAATCAAAGCTGAAAACCATTGCTACAGAGAGGAGGTAAAAGCGGGTGAAGCTGGTGGCTAGATCAGTACTACCGGAATTGTTTCCATTGATGCTCTGCAATGAAGTGTAAATGAAGGTCTCTTGTGGTTCCTCTCTCAGGGTGACATCTGCATGCATTTGACCAATTATGCTATCAACAAACGTAATGCAAACTTTGTCCAGGATGACACGATGGGCAGTAAGAGGTACAGTCTTGTCCAGGTACCACAGCGCCTCCGTGACATCCTGCAGGAAAGCTGCACTGCGGACAGCTGTTTGCTTCCACCATTTTTGGGGTGGTGTGATGTCACAGGTGAGCTCTTATCATCTCCTGTCTTCCACACAGGAAACTCTCCACCCTGAATGCCTGGATGATGGATAACAGCTACAACACAACAAAACTCTGGGAAGATATTGAAGATATAATTATAAAGACTCTTATTTCAGCTCACCCTGTGGTGAAGCACAATTACCAAAGCTGCTTTCCTAACCACACTACCAGCTGTGCCTGTTTTGAGATACTGGGTTTTGATATTTTGCTAGACAGAAATCTGAAACCTTGGCTACTAGAGGTGAGGAAGAAATCTCCTGCTGTGTTGAAGCAGCTCTGAAAGTAGCAGATAGTTGAAAGCTTGCTTGTGTGCAGGAAGCTCAAGAACAAGGGCTGGTGGGCTGAACAGAACTTATTTATTAAACCAGGCCACCTCACTCTCAGAATTAAACGGGTTATGAATACGAGTGGCCAAACAACCTTCTGCAGGCCAAGCAACCTTAATCCACCAGATCTAAGAGCCTGTTCCCTACACAGCCTCTCTAACAGCAGGGAGTTTCCTGAACCTCGGTGCTCCTCGATCTGTAACAGCATCCTGAATTTATGACAGCTGCTCTGCTCTTGCAGTCCTGTGGGGGCACAGAGGCTGAGCAGCCTGCAGTGTGGATGAGCATCATATGGCAGCAGGGACAGATGGTGTGCACGCCCTCCTGCTTTCAGCCACTGTTATGGGGGAGAACATCAGTTGGACTCGATCTCTGTGGTCCCTTCCAACATTGGATATTCTTTGATCAATGGAAAGCATGCAGAGGGGCAGGCTGGGGCCAGCAAGCTTGCTGCAGGCAGCAGTCTGAGTGCTGGGAATTGCCAGGCTAGATGAGCTGTTTGTTTTGGCAGGTGAACCACTCTCCCAGCTTCACCACAGACTCTCACCTGGACCGTGAGGTGAAGGATGCTCTTCTCTTTGACACCATCAACTTGATAAACGTGCACGCCTGTAGCAAAAGGAAAGCGATGGAGGAAGACAAACAGCAGGCAAAGGAACGACTCCTGCAGGCTCGTCGGTCTCCTCGTGTGTCCAGGTACTGCCTTCCCAATGGCACTGCAGGTCCCTGTGAGGAGAAGAAGCCGTGGCTCTGTGCAGCCTCTGACAGCCCACCCAAGCCATCTGCACTCTGGACAGGGAGAGCCTGTCCAGAACTGATCTCAGAAGAGATCTGGGACTCCCTGTGCTATGATCCCTGCGCTTCCCCTTAGAGCTGCATGTCCTCGTGTCCTTCAGCGCAGTCAGGCTGCAGCAGGACGTTGCTGGTCTCGCAGTGACTCTCACAGGACGGGTCATAGCACTGCTTCAGGGACCAGGAGCACCGCGGGGCACAGGGCTCTTCTCCAAAGCAGGATTCCTTTCCCAGGGTTGAGCATTTTCCCACCCTTCTTTGTCTGCATGCCCTTTCATGATTTATTAATCTGCACGGCCTCTCGAGGCCATTTTAGATGAGGCTGCTGCCCGGGCTTTTCCTGCTGTGCGGGGCAAGGCAGGAACTGCCTCCAGCTCCCATTTCAATTAGGAAACCTGAGAAAACTGCAGGCTGGGGAAGCTGAGCTCGTTACTCCGTACACTTCATGTCCCTGCAGCCCCCACTGCTCCCAGCTCCCTGCTGGCTGAAAGCTCCCAGCTGAGTGCGGAGTGGCAAACGCTCCTTGAACACAAACACTGTAATTGAACTCTGGCAACCAGCTTAGCTGGGTGAAAAGGCTGAGGGGCAGGGTGTGATCCCGGCAGCAGGGGAGGCATCTGAAAATGCTCCAGCAGCATTCGCCATGTAGAGAATGAACAAGTGGGAATTGTTGGTTCCCAGCAGCGAACATGTGTGAAACGGGCTCTCAGACAGGGAAAGACAGGAGCAAAAATCGAGCTGTGTCCATTGTAAAATACCTGGAGCCTCCCATCGCAGCTCCCCGCCTGCCTGCGCTGTCTCCTGGTTTGCAGACATGAGGAGGCAGAGGGCAGCCAGGCAGCCTGGCTCTCTGAGGCAGAGGACTATGAGAACTCCCACCTGGGCAGCTACCGGCGCATTTACCCAGCGTGTGGCACTGACAAGTATGAGCCGTTTTTCAAGCAGAGCAGCTCCCTCTTCAAGGAGACTGCATCGTCCAGAGCACGAGAGGAGTGTACCAGGTACGTTCACACACCGCTTCCTTGTGACCCTTTGCTGGGAGTGAGTGTGTTGTTTAAGGGAAGCAAGGAGGTTGTGGAGAGCTGGATACGGGCAGTCTGCTGTGCTTTGTTGCCGTGGCAAAGCAACTCCTGTAGCAGGAACTTTGAGGGCAAATGCAGTATTCCACTGGCTTTTGGAATCCGGAGGCACGTGTTGAAACGTCCTCCACTGTTCTCCCCCTTCTGGCAGGCACAGACTAATTCATGGGCATTTCTCACAGCAGTGAGAGGCTCTCTTAAAAGCACTCCTCCCTCACTTCTTGGCGTGCTTTCTTTATGATTATTCACTACAGTACTTGACTGCAGTAAAATGTCCTCAGACTGAAGTCTTTGCAGTTTTGCTATTATGACTCTTATGGAACCAGTGACCAAGACAGCTCTTCTGTGGCAGGCAACAACTGGAAGAAATTCGCATGAAGAAAGAAAAGTTAGAAGCTGTTAACAGCAAGAAGAAAAAAGAGAGGAAGGAAGGGCTGCAGGGAGAGTCGCCCGCAGACAAATCCATGATCCACAACAAAGCCTCAGCTTCTGCAACCCACTTCACCTACAGAAGCACAAAGATGTGGGATAAAAAGGTACCTTGTTTTCATCTGTGCTCATCCATGGTGTATAAAGGCAGTCTGTGGCTCTAGGAGCAGTACTGGGCCACGGGTATCTCCTAAGGAGATGAGGCCCCTCCGTGAAGTCCTGTGGGGCTGACAGCTTGTGCCAGGAGGCACCTGGAAGCAGTGCTGCCCTTTGCTGCTGTGCCATCATAGGGATTTTCATCCTACTCCACCCTGAGGTCTGAATTCCCTGTAGGGCTCAGAGCAGTTTGCAGTTTTGTATCTCTCGCCCAGTTCTGTAGTTTCAACTTTGCTGTAAGTCGGGTGCTTCTTTCCTAAGACAGAACACGTGCAGTATGACTCCATGCAGCCTCAGGATATTCTGGAAAATGAAGAGAAGAAAAGAGTGAATGCTCTTGCAAGGCGTAAGAACCTCATCCAAGGCCTGGGCATCGTGGATCAGCTCTCCCAGCTGCTTCCCACAACTGGGAGATCATCTGACAGCCACAGACCCTGCGCTGTTACCTCTGAGATGCAGGTAACTGAAGCTCGCCCCGATGCTTCTACGAGGCCACCACAGGGCGCCGCCGCTTGTGGCAGAACGCGGCTCATTTAAACGAGGTCCAACGTGCTGCCCGGGTCCGCGGGTCTTTTTCTCCTACAAGGGCTGGGGGCGCGCCAGGCACTCACACAGAGCCCCTGGGCACCACCCCTCAGAAGGTCCCTCATTCTCATTCCAAAAGACAGTCTGATAACACTGCCTTTCGCTGTCCCCACGCGCAGCACGGCGTGGTCTGCTTCTTCAGGGCCATAAGGTTCTCCTGTCTAAGTAAGATTAATTCCCGAGCAGGAGTTCTCTGAGCTACGAGCACAGAAGTGCTGGGAGCATGGCAAAGAAGCACAAGCAGCAAACAGGGTCTGAGTGGAAGTGTAGAAATACCTAAAAACATCTCGGTGAATTCTGCACTGCAAGCAGTGCCTCTTCCTAAACCCCCCAGCCTCTGTGTTACACAGCCCCCACCCATGGAAGGTGAAGAGCCCCCTGCACATCTGACAGCGCACGTGCTGGAAACACATCAGAGCTCAGTCCTTGGTGTGGGGCTTCCCCTTGACAATCATGTTTGCTCTGCAAGAGCTTGCTGTAGTCTAAGCCCTTGGCTTTGCCACTGTCATATCCTGGATTATTTCAAGGTGCACAGCTGAAGAAAACTGGGCTGTGCAGGGTTATGCCCAGGAAAAATTTGGAGCTAGATTTGCTTGCCTACAGTTCCCAAACCTGGCCACAGGTGCCAGTGTTCTGAAATCAGATGAGGAGAAAGCCAGCAGTCTGTCATCACTGGACTCCAGTGGGCTGTAAGGGCTGCAGCAGAGCTGATGGCTGATATCTGATATGTGGAGAAAGTGCTAATTGTTGACTGGCAGTTGTGAAAAGCCTTGCAAGGTCCTCTCCTGTTGGCACCACCTGCTTCCATAAAGGCCTTCCACTCCTGCTTGGAAGGACAGCACACCTTGCAAGGATGCTGACAAACTCCAGATACCAGAATTGCAGGAATTATGTGGGCTGTGGGAGTATTCTGTGCCTTACAGCAAATTGGAAACGTCCCTTTAATTTAACAAAACAAGTGTAAGGTGCGATTTGATCTGTAAGAACTGATGGTAGCTGCCTTTTCTGCTCCCAGACAAAGCAAAGCAGAACTTGAAACCACGAGTTCCACCCTGGCTCTGGGCAGATCTTTTCAGAAGCAAAGGACTGTACAGGGCTGGGTCAGATCCTTCATCACTGAAGCCTCCCCACAAGGCTGTGGCGTTTCTTTCCACAAGCCCTGCTGCAGCTCAGGGCGATGTTTCGGGCAGTGCATGGGAGCCTCTGAGCTCTGCTGCAGGCAGATCAGACGCCGTCCACCTGGATGATTTGAATCCAAGGCTGAGGTGTGCGCAGGAGAGCCAATGTGGGCAATGTGTAGTGAGCACCGGCACGGGAGACGTTTCCTTCCTGTCTCTCATCAAGGGTCTCCAGAGCTAAGCTACAACCGCTTTCTCTCCCTCCAGACGCAGTTTCTTTGGGACGCACCGCAGGCACAGCAGCCTGCCCCCTTGATGACCATCATCCCCCTCTCGTTCCCAAGAGGCACCGTGTGGCCTTCAGGACGGCCGTGTGCTCGTAAGCACAGCACCAGGGCACAGCTGCTGGCTGGCCAGCACCCTGCCCCGGGCACGCTGTTGGTTCGAGGGCAGAGCATCCCTTTCCGAGAGCAGCACACGGTGCAGTGCAGCGCCCAGCCCCAGGACAGGGGCAACTCGTGGAGCCGGGCTGCAGAGCCAGCAGCAGCTACCCAGCCCTGCACTAAAACCAGAAGGCCGATGAGCGCCTGGCAGCTCTCTGCAGCCAGAAACGAGGCGGAAGGATGTGAGTGCGATTATCTCGCTTTGGTTCTGCCTTTGTGTGCTTTGCGTGCAGAGCCATGGAAGTTCTGATGGAGAAGCAGGAGGGCTGGGTGGAGCTGTTCCGCGGTTGGGGGCTGTGCGGCGGCCACAAAGAACAGCAGGCTGCAGCTGTGCGGCTGCCCACGCGCTGTCTGTGCTCCTGCAGGTGACGTCGGGCGGCCGCTCTGCGCAGGCAGCGCTCACCGCGGTTCGCTGGGATGCCCGGCCCGTGCAGGCAAGGCCACGGGTGATGGCGGCTTCAGCGGTGCGGCAGCACGGCGGCTCCTCGTAGCCTCTGCCGCTCTCGTGCTGCACACGCGCTGCGCCAGCGCCATGAATTTCCGCGACGTGAGCAGCACAGGTAAGGGGCAGCGGCGGCTCCAGCCCCCCCCCGGGCGCCGCTCCCTGCACCGCGGCTGCCGGGGGTTCCATCCGAGCGCCCTCGCTCTGGTCATGGGGTCCTGCGGGACGTCGAGGCCCAGTTGTCCGTCAGGACTCCGAACTGCCGGCTATCGGCGGCCCCGGAGCCCGCAGCCCCAAGTGCCGGGGAGCGGCACGCCGTGCCCAGACCCCGCCGTGCCTCCCGCGCTTCCCCCGCCCTCGGGCCGCCCCCGCCCCGCCCCCCCTCGGGTCATGGCGGCGTTGGTGCGGCGCGGGCTGCGGGTCGGTGCGCTGCTGGCCGCATCCCCGCGGCGGGCGGCAGCAACGTGGCACGGGGAGCCGGAGCCGCCGAACGCGGTGCTGGATGAGGCCGAGAGGTACGGGACTGCGGGGCCGAGTCCGCGGCCGGGAGGACCGGGGCGCTCACACGTTTCTCTCCCCGCAGAGCACGGAGGCGGCGGGCAGCGGCGCGGTTGCGGCGGGTGCTGGGCGCGGAGCGCGGCGCCCCCGAGCGGACGCTGACCTGGGAGGCGATGGAGCAGATGCGGTGAGCGGCCGGGTCCGGGCGGGGCGAGGCGGGACGGAGCGGTAGGCGGTGACCGCGCTGCACCCGCAGGTTCCTGCGGCAGGAACTGCCCGAAGAGTGGCCGCTGGAGCGCCTGGCCGAAGGCTTCGGCGTCAGCCCCGACGTGGTGCGCCGGGTGCTGCGGAGCCGGAGCCGCCTCCCGCCGCACCGCCGCCTGCGCCAGGACGCGCGAGCGCTGCGCGCCGCCCCGCAGCGTCCGGACCCGGGCCCAGCTCCACCCGCCGGCACGGAGGTGCGCGCCCCGGACGGCTCGCTGCTGTACCGCCTGCCGCGAGGGCTGGACGGGTCGCAATAAACTGTTGAACTGGGCTCGGCTCCGCCCGCTCCTGGCGTTTGCATATTTTCCGGCGCGCCGGCGCAGCCCGCACAACGGCCATGGGTTCGGATGCGGCGCGGTTGCTGGAGGCGGCGGACTTCGCGGCCTGGAAACACAGGGAGCAGCGGCGGAAGGACCCCGAGGGCACCCCCTACATCAACCACCCCATCGGTGCGCGGCCGCTCTCGTCCCGTTGCCCTTCTCGCGGTCCCTGCAGCGAGGCCCCGGTGCCGCTCCCGTCCGGTCAGCCCCCCTACGGTGGAGCGCGCGGCGCGGGGCCTCGACCCCCTCCCTCCCCACCCCTCCCGGTGTCTCCCGTTCCAGGCGTGGCGCGGATCCTGTCACACGAGGCGGGGGTCACGGACGTTGTGGTGCTGCAGGTACCGCTCCGCCCGGGGCTGCGGTGGGGACGCCGCCGCCCGGCCGGCCCTCACCGTCCCCCCCCACCCCCAAACTCCCCCCGGCCCCCGCAGGCCGCGCTGCTGCACGACACGGTGGAGGACACGGACACCACGCTGCCCGAGATCGAGGAGCGCTTCGGGCCCGAGGTGCGGCGCGTGGTGGAGGAGCTGACGGACGACAAAACGCTGCCGAAGGCGGAGCGGAAGCGGCTGCAGGTGGAGCGGGCGGCGGGCAGCAGCGCCCGGGCCAAGCTGGTGAAACTGGCGGACAAACTGCACAACCTGCGGGACCTGCAGCGCTGCGCGCCCAAAGGTGCGCCCGGCCTGGCCCCGCCCCCCGCGAGCCCGGCGCCGGAAGTGACGCGCCGCGCGTGTCCCCGCAGGATGGTCGGAGGAGCGCGTGCAGGAGTACTTCCGGTGGGCGGCGGAAGTGGTGGCCGGCCTGCGCGGGACGAGCCCGCCGCTGGAGGCGGCGCTGCAGCGGCTGCTGGAGGAGCGCGGCGTGGCGCCGGGGCCGGGAACGGGGCAATAAATGTGGCGGGTGCCACCTCGCATCTCCTTCCTGATTGCCTTGGTGCTTCCGGCGCGGCGTCACGTGACTCCCGGTGCTTCCGGCGCGCGAGGTCCCGTGGTGCGTGGGTTCCGGCGGAACTGCGGGCTCGCGGCGGCGTTCCGGGCCCCGCGGCGGCTCCGCTATGGCCTCCACCGCCCGGCGTGACGCGCCCGAGCCGCCCGACTTCGGTATCCTGAAGAGGCTGGCGCGGGACCAGCTCATCTACTTGCTGGAGCAGGTGCGGGCGGGCGGGGGGCGCTGGAGCGGGCCGGGAGAGGGGAGCGGCCCCGGGGGTCGGCGCGGGGATGGGGCCCGGGGTGCGGGGTTTCCCGGCGCCGCCCCACGCCGCCCGACCGCCCGCAGCTGCCAGGCAGGAAGGACCTGTTCATCGAGCCCGACCTGATGAGCCCCCTGGACCGCATCGCCAACGTCTCCGTCCTGAAGGTATGGCGGGGCCGGGGGTCGGGACCGGGGGTGCCGGCACCGCCCGCTGACGGCTCCACGCCTCGCCCCGCAGCAGCACGAGGTGGACAAGCTGTACAGGGTGGAGAACCGGCCGGCCCCCAGCACCAGCGATCAGTGAGTGCTGCCCGTCTGCTCGGGACGCAGCTCCCTGCGCCGCGGGGCTCAGGTGGCAGCTCTCACACCCTGTCGCCCTGTTCCCAGGCTCTGCTTCCTCGTGCGGCCGCGGGTCAGGACGATGCGGTACATTGCAGGTGAGCGCCCGGCGGGCAGCTGCCTGTGGCCTGTCGTTGGTTCACCATCCCGTCGCTGGTTCGTGATCCCTCAGCTCTGCTCTCTGCAGGCGCTCTGGGAAGGTCAGGATGTGGCGTGTGGGTCATCTCATGCTGCACTGACTGCAGCTCTGCACTGCCAGTACCTTCTGGCCCCTGCAGGCCACTATTCCTGGGCTGGAAAATGGCCCTGTTCCCAGGTTCTTCTTTCTGCCCTGGGTGCTGTGAGGAGCAGTGCCCCACACCTCATCCTGTGGGACAAGTTGTGGCAGTTCAGGGTGGCACGCAGTGTCTATGAGGTCTGCGCACGTGTTCTTTGCAGACATTGTCAATGCTGACAAGATGTCAGGGCGGAGCCGGAAATACAAGATCATCTTCAGCCCCCAGAAGGTCAGTGCTGCTTCTACCCCTTGTGACCTGGTCTGACCCTCACGCTTCCTGCCCCTCCTGTCGAAATTGGAAGTTGTTTCTTAACCAGAGCTGTTTCACTAAAGTCAAGTGTTACGGTGTCTGGGAAGAAGACGAGTCCTGTTACTGCAGGGAGCTCCTTCCCTGCCTGTGGTGGAGCGTGACTGAGGATCTTTTCTTATTTTGCAGTTCTATGCTTGTGAGATGGTGTTAGAGGAAGAGGGAGTCTTTGGCAGTGAGTAGGTCTGTGGTGTGTGACACTTCACTCACAGCACTCTGATCACCTCTGAACCCCAGTACCAGGATCTCCTGGGAGGAACAGTGGTTCTGCCCCTGCCTGGGTAGAGGAAAGAATGAGTCCCCTCGAAGAGGATCCATCTCTGTTTTCCTCCTCTGTGTGAGGAGTTGGGATTCCTGGGGCTGTTTTTGCTGGGGGTGGATGACTGTTGCCTTTTCCTGTCTCACGCTCAGATGTCACCTGTGATGAGTGGTCCTTCTACCTGCTTCCCCTGGATGAAGATATCATCAGTATGGAGCTGCCTGAGTTCTTCCGGGACTATTTCTTGGTCAGTAGGGATGGTCTGCTGGGTGCTGCCCGTAGGATGGCAGCCCTTCTGTCACTTGTCCCTGGGCTCAGGCAAGGAGAGCTTTGTTCAGGAAGCTAATGTCCTGCTCAGTCCTCCCAGCCCTCACTGCAGGCTGCTGCTGCTGTCTTGGGGAAGGTTTTGCCTGGGGCAGCCACCTGGACGTGCTGTGGTGGCTCCTCCTGAGCAGCACTGGGCACCAAGCTTGTTCCTATGTGTGTGCAGTGGGAGCCCACGGACCCTCAGCCCCGCTTTGCGTCTGATTGAGGCCCCCAATGCAAGCAGTTATTTCCAGTCCAGCCTGCACAGAATGCACAGATCCTAATGCTGCTGTGCTCCTTGCAGGAGGGAGATCACCGCTGGATCAACTCCGTTGCTCGAGCCCTGCAGCTGCTGAACTCCCTGTATGGGCCATTCAGCAGGGCCTATGGGATTGGGAGGTGTGCCAAGGTAGGTATGGCAGGGCTTGTGGTGTGCTCTCACCTCTGGAGTGAAGGGTGGTGGGAGTGCCCTGTTTCCTGTGCCTGAGCTGAGGCTGCGCAGGGGAAGCTGCAGCAGCACCCCCACATGGCCGGGGACTGTGCTGGCACCGGGTGCCTGCTGTGTACTGCAGCTCCTGGTCACAGGCATTGGCACAATTTTCCCCCTGCAGATGAGCTATGAGCTGTGGCGAGACCTGGAGGAGGAGAGCGAGAGTGAGGGGCAGGGTAGAAAGCCAGAGATTGGGAACATCTTCCTTATGGACAGAGGTAAGGGCTGGCACCAGTGGGAGTGAGAGGCAGCAGGACTGGGCCTGGCAGGGGGAAAACAGGCAGCAAATGAGTCCTCATTGCAGACACGGACTACGTCACAGCGCTGTGCTCGCAGGTGGTGTACGAGGGGCTGGTGGACGACACCTTCCGTATCAAGTGTGGTAAGTGAGGGTCAGTGATGGGGTGACGGGAGGCTCTCCTGAGGTTTGTGCTCGGTCCTGGTGTGGGATGGCGCTAAAGACCACGCGTGAGGGCAGACCTGCCTGCAGAAACATCAGGGCAAGTGTTACCTTTCTCTGCAGGGATGTCACTGGTGCTGGGGCAAAGCAGTTTGGGGGGCACCTTATTGCAGCGTTGCACTGCGTGAAAGGGGCTTGTAAGAAAGAGAGAGATCTTTTAAAAGGGCTTTTTAAAAGTAGTGGTGGAACACAGGGTAGGAGCTTTAAACTTGAGAGTAGATTTGGATTAGACGTTGGGAAGAAATTCTTGTCTCTGAGGGCAGTGAGGCCCTGGCACAGGCTGCTTAGAAAGGCTGTGGATGCCCCCTCCTTGGAAGTGCTTAGAAATCTGGATGGGGCTGTTCTGCTAGGCAGGGGGTTTGTAACGAGGCCTTTAATGTCTTTCCAACTCAAACTATTCCGTTGTTCTGTGATTCGTGCTATGATTCTGCAACTCTTCATCTTTCTCCGTAGGGAGTGTGGATTTTGGGCCAGAAGTCACCTCTTCTGACAAGAGCATTAAGGTGCTGCTCAATGCCCAGGACAAAGTGAGTCCTGCTTATGTGGCAGCAGGCCTTTCTGGTGCTCTGGGGGGAGGCTGAGCAGAGATTGACCGGGCACTGCTGGGTCTGGAGGCTTGGGTTGTCATGGGCTGCGTGTGGAGATGTAGAAGCAAAGTGTGGGCACAGCCTGACCTCTGTTGTCAGCACCACCCCTGCAGGCAGAGCTGAGTCGTGCCCAGGGGGCAGCAACCACACTGGTGGAGTGCAGCCTCTTCTCACTCTGGGTCAGGGCAAGCCTGGCCCCTGGTTGGGCTGTGCTGACCTGGCCTGAGCTTTGGGGAACAATTAGCTCAGGTGCTGCGGTGCTTTCTGCAGATCTTCAGCCAGATTCGGAACGAACACTTCTCCAGTGTGTTTGGCTTCCTGAGCCAGAAGTCACGCAACCTGCAGGCGCAGTATGATGTGCGTACAGCCTCGTGCTCAGGGCTCCCCAGCTTCATCCCTCCACAGCTGGGTCACTCCCTGCATGCTCTCACTCCCACAGCGCCGCCAGGGCATGGACATCAAGCAGATGAAGAACTTTGTCTCCCAGGAACTGAAGGGACTGAAACAAGAGCATCGCCTGTTGAGTCTGCGTAGGTGCTGGGACGGCAAGGAGCGGGAGGCCCCAGCTGCTGCAGTGGGTGCCTGAGCCCTAGGGAAGCAGGGGGGTTGCAGGGCCTGGTGGTCCCTAGGAGTGCGGTCAGGGCAACAGAGGGTGTTGTTGCATGAGCGTGCCTGCAGTGGGACTGCGTGCGGAGTCTGTTACAGCTCCACAGTGGAAAACTCTTGGCTGTACAGATATAGGTGCCTGTGAGTCCATCATGAAGAAGAAAACCAAGCAGGACTTCCAGGAGATGATCAAGGTTGAACACGGTGAGGGCCATTCCCTGTGCCTGTTGTTGCCCCCCACCCTAGGTCTGGCTCTTCCACCTTCGCTCTGATGCCAGCCTCATTGCCCCAGGTCTGGGCTGCCTCACAAGCTGGGAGCTCCCTCCAGACCTTTCATGCTGGGGTGGGTTGTGAGGTCCCCACAGGGCTGACACGTGGTAAGGCAGGCAGCCCAGCATTGCAAGCCTTCCCCTCTCCCCGAGGCACAGAGGGGAGGCTGAAACCAGATTCTACCTCAGCTGGCTGGTGGGAGCCCCAGGGATGGGAGAAGTGACTGCCTCTCCCCCCGCCACAGCTCTACTGGAGGGTTTTGACATCCGGGAGAGCACCAGCTTCATCGAGGAGCACATTGACCGGCAGGTAGGAGCTGCACCGCGCTGCGGGGCCGTGCATGGGCCGGCAGCCTGCTCACGGCACCACTGCAATGCAGGTGTCCCCTATTGAGAGCTTGCGCCTGATGTGCCTGCTGTCCATCACGGAGAATGGTGAGGGGGAGTCTAGGAGCTCGGCGGATGTCAGCGCGGGGGGCCGTGCACTCAGTTCACCGCAGCATCCCCACAGGTCTCATCCCCAAAGACTACCGTTCCCTGAAGACCCAGTACCTGCAGGTGAGAGAACCTGGGGCACCGGGGCTGTCAGAGCAGGGACTGAGCTCTCTGCCCGCCCCCGTCCTACTGAGTTACCTGAAGCAGCCCGCTGGGCTCCTGCGTGTCCCTGAGGCAGTGTCACACTGCTGTCTCGCGTGACTTTGTGCTGATCTGCCCACTCCCTTCCTCAGAGCTACGGGCCTGAGCACTTGCTGACCTTCCACAACCTCAAGCGCATCGGATTGCTGACTGAGCAGACAGCTGGAGAGACCCTGACAGCAGTGGAGAGCAGAGTCAGCAAGCTGGTGACGGACCGAGCGGCAGGTGAGAGGCTGCAGGAAGCCCAGGGCAGGACAGCAGGACAACAGGGCGCTGCTGTGCTGAGAGAACGTGGTGTGGCCCCACAGCTCCTATTGCTGCTCCATCTTCCAGCAGTGCCTCAGCCTGGCTTATGGTGTGCAGCCGCTGTGATGCATCCAAAGACTCTGTCATTTCTTGTCTTGTTTTCCAGGAAAAATCACAGATGCATTTAACTCCTTGGCCAAGAAGAGCAACTTTCGAGCCATAAGCAAGAAGTTGAGCTTGGTGCGTCCTCTGGGGGCTTCTGTGCTGGCAGAAGAGTTGTGCTCAGCCTGTGCCCGACCCCCAGGGCTGCCGGCCAGGCACACGCGCTGCACAGGGGCTGGGCTGCTGCTGGGTGCCCCAGCCTGCTTTGCCAGCCACAGCTGCTCTGACCCCGCTGCAAGGGCAGTCCCTGCCGCTGGCCCTGCCTGGGACTCAGTCAGACTCAGCAGAGCCCAGCCCAGCTGCGTCTTTGTCAACATCAAGTGGTGCCTCCCTGCAGATCCCGCGGGTGGACGGTGAGTACAACCTGAAAATGCCTCCGGACATGGCGTACGTTTTCAGCGGGGCCTACACACCCCTGAGCTGCAAGATCATCGAGCAGGTGAGCCCCCCCTCGTGCTCTCCCCGAGCAGAGCACCGCCTCGTCCGCCCCGCGCCCCTGCGGGGGCTGCACCGCTGCCTTCTGTGCGCGGCCCAGCCCCGAGCCTGCGCTGCCCTGCAGGTGCTGGAGCGCCGGGGCTGGCAGGGCTTGGAGGAGGTGGTGCGGCTGCTGAACGGCAACGAGTTCGCGATGGCCGGTAGGGCGGGGGTCGGTGCCGGGGCTCGGTGCCGGGGGTTAGCGCGTGCCAGCCCGAGCCTCGCAGACAGTGCGCTGGAAGAGGGCGCGGGCGGGGACGCGCAGCGGGTCGTGCTGGCGCTCTTCCTGGGGGGCTGCACCTTCTCCGAGATCGCCGCTCTCCGCTTCCTGGGCAAGGAGCGAGGTAGGACGGGGCACTACGGGGGGGCGGCGCGGCCCCGAGGGCGCCGAGCACGAGGCGCTGTGCCGTCTCCAGGCTGCAGGTTCATCTTCCTGACCACCGCCATTACCAGCAGCGCTCGCATGATGGAGGCCATGGCCGAGGCCAAGGCGTGACGCCGGGCGGGGGGCGGCGCTGGCGGCTGCGGGGCGCCCCGTTCTGCTCAATAAACGCCGCCGCGCCATTGGGGCGGCATTCAAAGCCGAGCGACCCGTACGTTTCCAGGTCACGTGATCCGCGTTAAAGTCCGCGCGTGCGCAGCGGTGCTCAGAGTGGTCTGGCGTAGCCGTTCTCGCTTGCGATTGGGTAGAAACCCCGAAGGCGTTTCGCCGCCATTGGCTGGCGCCCGGCTTGGGGCGGGACCTGAGCGACGGTTGTGGGCTTGACCCGTCGCGGCGCTTCAGCCAATGAGCGCCGCCGGGAGGCGAGTTTGAATCGGCGGCCCCGGACGGGCGGCGGCGGTGGCGGCGCAGAGCGGAGCCATGAGGAAGAGGTGCGGGGCCGGGAGCCGCGAGTTGGGGCCGGGACCGGGGCTCTGGGTCGCTGGGCGCGGGGGGATGGCGGGCCTGGGCTATCCTGCCACTCAGGCCCCACTGCCCGCAGCGAGGTGCTGGCGGCTGAGGCCGTGTCGTGCCTGAACCGCGCGTTCTCGGCGCTGCGGGACATCTGGGAGGAGATCGGCATCCCCGAGGAGCTGCGGCTGGAGCGCACCGGCGCGGTGAAGAAGCACATCAAGGTGAGCGGGGCGCCGGGCCGGGCGGGGGGCGGCGGCGGCGGCCTCGGCGTGCCCTGAGCGTGCCGTGCCGCAGAACCTCCTGGACATGATGGTGGCGGAGGAGGAGCACCTGAAGGAGCAGCTGCTGAGGAGCGTCGCTGCGTACCGAAAGGAGATCGACGGCCTCTGCGCGGAGCTGCGGGCGGAGCCCTTCCAGGTGAGGGCCGCGGCTCTCCGCAGCCTCCCCCGCCGAAGCTGGGCCGAGCTGAAGGCCTTCTGTTCCCCCTCCCCCCCCCCACCGGCGTTGGGTGGCGGTTGTGAAGCGGCCGGCTGGAAGCAGTGCTGTGCCTGGGTCCCGGGGCTGCCCTGCTGAGCTCTGGAGCTGCGTCCCGGCTCTGCACCCAAGGATTTCCGAGTACCTGAGTTACTTCCAGAAAGCGCTGCAGAGAACAGACCCTGATCTGTAGCTTCTTTCAGACAGAGGAGGGGAGTACCATCCTACAGATGGTGAAGGATTTGCATTCCCACGTGGAGGTGTTGTTGAAGCAGAAGAAGGATAGGAAGCAGGAACTGCAGGCCCTGCAGGAACAGGATAAGAACCTGTGTGACATTCTCTGCGTGTCCCTGTTCAGCATTGATGACAGCGCCGTGCCCAGCCTGGATGAGCTGGACCGCTACCGACGGCACGTGGCCTCCCTCAGCGCCGAGAAGGTGAGCAGGAGAGGCCTGGACCTCCGGGGAGGGAGGGTCGGAAGGCGCCCACTGGGTCTTCATGGGGCTCCTCACCTACAGGAGCGACGGCAAGAAGAATTTGTCAGCATCAAGCGGCAGGTTGTCCTCTGTATGGCGGAGCTGGAGCACAGCCCTGACACCAGCTTCGAGCGGGACGTGGTGTGTGAGGATGAGGAGGCCTTCTGCTTGTCCACAGATAACATCGCTAACCTCCAGAGCCTGCTGCAGCAGGTACGTTGGCACGCTCAGCTGGCCCTGCCACGACTGACGGCACTGCGGAGGCTGCCTGCCAGCACACTGTGAAGGCTGTTTTGTTTGTAGGAAGCCCGTGTGTTAGAATGTATTTCTAGAAGCTTTTGCTTGAAAGCGCTGGGGGGGAGAGGGGGTGTGAGAGCTGCAGTCTGTGAGCAGCCTCCTTGCATCCCTCAGCGCCAGGCTGAGGCAGCGCTGAACTCACGCTTTCCCTCTGCAGCTGGAAGCGCGGCGGGCACTGAACGAAGCCATGTGTGCAGAGCTGCGCTCCAGGATCACTGAGCTCTGGGAAAGGCTGCAGGTTCCTGAGGAGGAGAGACAGTCTTTCGCAGTGCACATGACCGGGTCCAAAGCGAAAACCAGAGAAGCTGTAAGAACCACCTGATGGCATTTGGGAGTGGGAGGGTAAGGGCAGGGCAGCTCTGGGGTTCGCTTGTTTGCTCATCTGGAGTGGAGGAGCAGCTTCCAGCAGTCAGGTGTAATGTGAGCAGACTAAATCCTGCCTTCAAGGACAGAGAGCTGGGAGTTGGTGCTGATGGCTGGCTCGCTAGAGGTGGATTATGCAGAACTTACATTGGTCTTGCTCTTCTATTCTTCCTTTCTGAGTCTGTGCTGTGGTTGTGTTGGCAGCTGAAGCTGGAAGTAGACCGTCTGGAGGAGCTGAAGCTGCAGAACATGAAGTCCGTGGTTCAGGCGATCCGCGCGGAGCTGGCTGAATACTGGGACAAATGCTTCTACAGCCAGGAGCAGAGGGACGCCTTCAGTCCCTTTCACGATGGTGGGTGGTGGCTCTTCCTGTAACTGACTCCCTCGATGGAGCTCAGCAGGCCTGCTGCCAAAAAGGGCTGCTGAGTGGTGCAGGGATCCTGGGTGCTTCCTGAACGTGCTGCTGTGTCTCTCCAGAGGATTATACAGAGGCCTTGCTCCAGCTCCATGATATTGAGGTGGGGAAGGTGAAAAGCTACTACGAAACACACAAGGAGCTGTTTGAGGCTGTTCACAAATGGGAGGAAAACTGGAAGCTGTTTCTGGAGCTGGAGGTATTGGGTAGTGCTACATCTCTGGGCTGTGCATAGGGGTTGGTGAGGGAATGGGATGCTGTGCCTGGAGCACCAGTGTGACCCAAGGTGCAGAGCTTGTGCAGGTGTGTTGCACCACTAAGGTGACTTCCTCGAGGGCCTAGGGGAGTGCTGGGCAGTGAGGCTGGGCCCCATCTCATTATCTTCTGACTTCTCTGTGCTAGAGGAAAACAGCTGACCCCAGCCGCTTCTCCAACCGTGGGGGGAGCCTGCTGAAAGAAGAGAAGCAGCGAGCAAAACTGCAGAAGACTCTTTCCAAGGTGGGTACAGACCTGGAGAAAAAGCTGTGGTCCTGAATAGGCACAGGTAACACTGACCAGGGAGAAGCACAGCGCTTGGAGCGCCAGCGAGGGCTGTGTGTGGGCAGGGAGCTGCCCACGTCCAGCACGACGGCTCCTACACTGCCCTCCTGTCCTGAGCAGCTGCAGGAGGAGCTCGAAAGCAGGATCCAGGCCTGGGAGCAGGAGCGTGAGGAGCCTTTCCTGGTGAAGGGACAGCAGTTCATGGAGTATGTGACAGAGCAGTGGCAGCTGTATCGCATGGAGAAAGAGAAGGAGAAACAGGAGCGGGTGAGTGCAGAGCTGACCGTGCTGTCGTGGTTTGGCACCGAGCTGTTGGCAGGGAGAGCAGTTCCAGGCCAGGTTCGCTGCCAGCTCCCTGGGGCTGAGGGGCTCCTCCTGCTCTTTTCTGGCTCCGCGTGGTCGCCTTCTTCAAACAGCAGGGCAGGTGGCTGCCTGCATCTGTGCTGAGCCCCAGCTGCTGCAGACCTGTAGTGTTTGCGCCTGTCCTTCCCCAGCACTGAGTGTTGGAGTTCCGTGGCGCTGTGTTCTGCTCTCTGCTCAGATCAGTGACGTTGGTCTTTCACACAGCACCTGAAGAAGAGCCGCCAGATCGAGACGGAGATGATGTATGGGAGCACCCCAAGGACTCCGGTCAAGCGTCGAGTGCTTGGCCCCCACACGCCTGGCAAAGTAAGGAAGGTAAACTGCCTGTGCTGGGCATGGAGTGCTTGGCTGAGACCCGACCAGGGCTTGAGCTAGACAAGTACTGTGAGAATAAAGGTGTTTAGAGCCCTCCCTCTGGATTTAGTCTCACAGTGATGCCAGAAGGGCCCAGGCTTATTGCAGCAGCAGCATAAAAGAATCTTATGCTGTAAATGGGTACAGGGAGTGGGCTGCAGGCATCTCTGTTCTCTGTGGGGACAATGGGATCCGTCACCCTGCTGTGCAGCCAGTGCTTTCGCTGTGGTTTTCCTGGTGTGAGCATCCCCTGCCTTCCTCCTCACGCTCCGTATCTCTGCTTTCCTCCAGCTCAATGGCACTTCCCTCTCCACGGCCACTCCCAACAGCACCATTCGTTCAGCTTTTGGGGCAACTCTCTTCCATTCACCAACGTCTCGGCTGCCACCCTCTGGAGGGAAGGTGAGAGGCTTTGTGGAGCATCCCTGCTCACAGGGTGGGTTGGTGCAGCACTGCTGTGCCACGCTGCTGTGTGACACTGCCACGGCAGCTTGCGCTCAGCTGCACAGCTGTGCTCCTGGGCCACAAAGGCTGCTCTGTTGGTACCTGCTCTGCTGGTCAGCCATGCTGCTGGTAGGATGTTCTGGGGGACCGATACTGCCCAAATTAAAAGGAGAGCGTTAGCATGCAGGAAGTCTTCCTCCGACCCATACTTCTGCTGTTTCCGAGTCTCAGACCTACTATGCAGGCTTTTAGGAGCTTGAAGTGCAGGGCAGCAGCTGCACGTCCAGCACTGCTGCAGGCTGCCTCAGCTCCCACTCCGCCTCTCGTCCCACAGCTTGGCCAGACTCGGACCCCCATCCGCGTGGCTGCGAAGCCCCCCCGGCCCGGACACAGGGAGCGGAACAAGGAGAACCTGTCGCAGCTGAACGGAACCACCCTGAGCGGTGGGTGCAGCCCCGCGGCCCCTGCCCAGCGTAACCACAGCGTTAATTCTGTTGCCAGCACCTATTCTGAGTTTGCGGTAATTCACCTCTTCTGAACGTGCCTCCCCTCACTGGGCTGCACCCAGGCCGTGCTTCTGCTCCTCTCAGAGCACCGCAGGGCCACCGCTGTGCTCAGCCCAACCTCTGCCCTGCGCAGAGCAGCTGCTCCTGCCAGCACCCACGGCACCAGCTGCTGACTCTGTCAGGAACTTCAGTTGAAGTTTGGTGGCCGAGGCCGAGCTCCATCGTGTGCAGGCCCTGAGCAGCCCAGTGGGGATCTGATATTTACACAGGAAGATGGTGATGCTTGGCTCCCGCCTGCCCCTGCAGGAGCAAAGCTGCGCCTTTGACACGGCCCGTTGTGCCAGGCCTCCTGCATAGCCCTGCTGTAGTAATGCAGCCGCCCTCCAGACCTGGGTCTGCTCCCAGCTGCTTAGCAGAGAACCTCCACGTGGTTTGAAGCAATGTGTCATGGAGGGCATG